TAGTCCTCTGGCTGTACGAACGTTGTGCGCGGTGCCGCCACTGCTGTGTGTTGCTCAAGCAAGGAGCAGATCCTTTTCACTGCAGCCGTTGATGGTGTATAGTCTTGCGTTGCGAACCTGGGCCAAATGCAGCCCGGCAATGCTCGCACTTGGGTTGGTGACGGCCGCAGCACAAGATGGGTAGACGGCGGTTCTTGAATCTTGTCTGACGAGGCCTCTTTTCCGGCTGCAACGATAGTAGGTGCAATTAGTCCTCTGGCTGTACGAACGTTGTGCGCGCTGCCGCCACTGCTGTGTGTTGCTCAAGCAAGGAGCAGATCCTTTTCACTGCAGCCGTTGATGGTGTATAGTCTTGCGTTGCGAACCTGGGCCAACTGCGGCCCGGCAATGCTCGCACTTGGGTTGGTGACGGCCGCAGCACAAGATGGGTAGACGGCGGTTCTTGAATCTTGTCTGACGAGGCCTCTTTTCCGGCTGCAACGAGAGTAGGTGCAATTAGTCCTCTGGCTGTACGAACGTTGTGCGCGCTGCCGCCACTGCTGTGTGTTGCTCAAGCAAGGAGCAGATCCTTTTCACTGCAGCCGTTGATGGTGTATAGTCTTGCGTTGCGAACCTGGGCCAACTGCGGCCCGGCAATGCTCGCACTTGGGTTGGTGACGGCCGCAGCACAAGATGGGTAGACGGCGGTTCTTGAATCTTGTGTGACGAGGCCTCTTTTCCGGCTGCAACGATAGTAGGTGCAATTAGTCCTCTGGCTGTACGAACGTTGTGCGCGCTGCCGCCATTACTGTGTGTTGCTCAAGCGAGGAGCAGATCCCTTTCACTGCAGCCGTTGATGACGTAGTCTTGCGTTGCGAACCTGGGCCAACTGCGGCCCGGCAATGCTCGCACTTGGGTTGGTGACGGCCGCAGCACAAGATGGGTAGACGGCGGTTCTTGAATCTTGTCTGACGAGGTCTCTTTTCCGGCTGCAACGATAGTAGGTGCAATTAGTCCTCTGGCTGTACGAACGTTGTGCGCGCTGCCGCCACTGCTGTGTGTTGCTCAAGCAAGGAGCAGATCCTTTTCACTGCAGCCGTTGATGGTGTATAGTCTTGCGTTGCGAACCTGGGCCAACTGCGGCCCGGCAATGCTCGCACTTGGGTTGGTGACGGCCGCAGCACAAGATGGGTAGACGGCGGTTCTTGAATCTTGTCTGACGAGGCCTCTTTTCCGGCTGCAACGATAGTAGGTGCAATTAGTCCTCTGGCTGTACGAACGTTGTGCGCACTTCCGCCACTGCTGTGTGTTGCTCGAGCGAGGAGCAGATCCCTTTCACTGCAGCCGTTGATGAAGTATTCTTGCGTTGCGAACCTGGGCCAACTGCGGCCCGGCAATGCTCGCACTTGGGTTGGTGACGGCCGCAGCAGAAGATGGGTAGACGGCGGTTCTTGAATCTTGTCTGACGAGGCCTCTTTTCCGGCTGCAACGATAGTAGGTGCAATTAGTCCTCTGGCTGTACGAACGTTGTGCGCGCTGCCGCCACTGCTGTGTCTAAAAAGTAAAAAGTATAAAAAGTAACGCTAAAGTAACGTACGTTACTTTTTATTGGTTACGGTAACGGTAAAGCGTTCCTTTTAATGTTGAGGTAACGTGCAGGTCGGTAACGCGTTGCTTTTTTTGCACGTAACGAGTTACGTATTTCGCCCCTTTTTTGGGTAACGTCTACAAGACTGCTGATGTTGTATATGACTATAGCGAGACACCTAGGCTGAACAAAAGCCCATTCAGCTAAGAGAAGCGGCGTCGGGAGTGTCGTAAAAGTCCTCACTTTCGGTTGTGCCGTGCTTCCGCTAGATGGCCACACCGAAACTTCGAAACTAATGACGTCACAACGTGGTGCTCCGCTACAAACAACCGTTGCCAGGGCCGTTGTTATGGACAAATGCATCGGGGCTCCACGTGAGGCCAGAAATTGTCTGACAAAAAGATAAATTCTTTTTTTCCAAGCATTGTGTCAATATCTCACCATGAAGACTTTTCTCATCGTCTCAGTAGCAAAACGCGATGACAAAAGGCCGTAATAAAGTTCCACAACCGGGTTTGCCTTGCTAGCAGACCATACAATGGCTTCGCGGGTTTTAGCGGTTCTTTCTGAGGGAGTGGGCGACTGCGTTGAATGAAGTTGGTGGCGGCTCACGAAACTTCTATCCTCGGGGTCAACTTTCTGTGATCAGATTTCGGAAGCGAAGAGTGGCCGTGCACAGCTTTGATCGACGCTCGAGGTGCCCAGTGCGCGGACGCTTTTTCGTGAAGCTCGCTTCCGTAATATTTGAGAAGGTGAAATCTCTGTAAATCCAATTCATGTACAACAACGACATGAAGTGTATCAAGGTGGAAGTGCAGGCCAGCGCACGTTTTACAAATTTCTCACACCACAGTTCTTCGGTGCACATTTGTGTGATCAAACAAACTGTCCGTAACGGACATATACTGTAAAATTATCGCGGATCCTATCTTTCGCGGCCCCTTATGTTGCGAAACGGTCAGAAGAGGACATAACCGCGGCCACTAAGTTTCTCAAATTCCGGCCACCTGCATTGAAACTCTTAAGGACCAAAACATTTGGCGTGCCCTTAAATTTTGCGAATTTTTTAATTCGTGAAATTCGCGAACATTAAGGGTTTTACAGTATGTTGCCGCGTACATGGCCCATAAAGAAACCTTTGCCCCTCTACCCCGCACCTCCACCAGAAATGCCACGGATGCAAAAGTCTCGACGAGTGTAAACTGGAAATAAAGGCTTATTCGGCGAACTTGTGGCAGAAGCGAACGAAGGAATGTGTCGAAACAGCAGCAGCGTACATTGCGGCGTCGACGTGACAGCTGGCCCGAGAGAGCGGGAATGTGCCTCGTCATCGCGAGAACCTGAGTGAGTCGGCAGAGCTCACGCTCGACTCCTTATCCGCTGCACTCGGCCTCTCAGACATTCGGCCTGGAATGGTCGAGACTGACTAGGCAATGTCGTTCTGGCCTCCTTATCTTTTAAACTCGGTAAGAGTAAACACTCATCTTCTAGATGTAAGGAGAAGCGTTTTTTCTCGGTCATGTACGCGGCAATATGACTTACCCGATGTTATTACGCAGCTCCCTCGCTATTTGGGGCGTAACTTAAATCTGAGGAACCAGTAGGACTTTTCCTCAAGTTGATGATTACAAGCAGCTACAAAACACACACCCGTATTGCGAGCATGAAAAAGGAAGGTCTGGGCCTCTAATCGGCTCATGTTAGAGTAAGAAAAATTGGAGACTTTCCACTCTGTCGAAGAAGGAAGACCAGCGAAGCTGTAGAGTGGAAAGGCTGTCGCCATCTACGAGCGATGGCGGCAACCAGACAACCGGCTTGCCGCTTTCGCTTGTTGATAGAGGCAGCTGCCAAGAGTTTGGTGTCATCACTTCTTTGCTGGTGGAAACGATTCTGGGGATACTAACCCTTAACAGCTCTGCTGTAAAAAATATATCTACATATATTGCTCCTTTATTACCACGCACGTGAACTGCAAAGTAAGAATGGGGGCCCGACGATGCTTTGTTATGCTTTACACAGATGCCTTTTCTCACTATATTCCTAGCAGATATCCATACGTGTGATGAATTTTGTCAGACAGTATCGTATCGCACGCAAATACGATTGGTTTTTATGAACATGGAGAGTTTTCTTAGGCCTGCCACGTTCCAAATAATTACAAAATATAATCATTGTGAAAACGATTCAAACTCTTGCAGACGACATACTTCAGTCATTCCATGTGAGCTCGACATGCCTTTGTCGTCTCTAGCAGGCATCTAGAGACGTCTCGAGGGCGGGAACTTCCCATCGCAAATATTTCAGAAACAGCCAATGCTCCGCAAACGTCTGTCATAGTAACTGTGAAATCTAGGCTCCCTATATACATTATCTTCAGGCATTCAAATTTTACCTCTCATTTTTTTACGGATAGTTCTTTCGTAGCGACATAGAGTCTCATGAATTCATCTATAACAACGCCCCTAGTAACGGTTTGATTGGAGCAGTGACGTCACGTGGGGTAAATTGGCGGTTTCGTAACTGAGCTAATCTAGTGACGTTGGCTTTTATAAATGTTAATGCCACGTGACGGGCAGATTGGTGGCCGAGTGGGCTAAAGCGCACACTCAGCTCGACGCGCGTGGAGCGATATCTCGCGCTGCAGAACCCAGGGATCCTAGGTTCCAGATTGAAACCTGACCCCAGGAATCGAAACGGGACCGCTGTCCGTTTTGATCTGGATGAGCATCGCACAGGCGTGCGGAGCTGTATCACTACTGCGTGAGCACGTTAAATACCCCAGGTTAGCAGTCGTACTGCACTGGCAAAATTGCTCATCTACAGTGTAAACCGGTGTCGCCCCGTCCTGGCAGACCGACCTTACCTTTTGATGCCACGTGACTCATACTCTAGTAGACTGTCTATTGAACTCTAAACAAATTAAAACGATCGTTCCTTAAATACTGCAGAAGTAAATTTCGCTGCCAACATTTTTTGGTGTCACTACAAGAGATTGTATTTAATAAAATGCGATGACAAAAAACAAAACAAAAACAAAACATCCTATAACTTTCCGAAAATCTTATTGGTCGTTATATTTTTGTTAATAGATAAGCAAACTCTTTTGGTACGTCGAGCCAATTTTAAGGAAAATTAACGGCAATGAAACAGCAAAAAAAAAACAAAAAAAAACGGCGGAGTACCAGCATACACGGAACATTTTGCTATACCTCACAGATAATCCGGACTAACGGCAAATTACAAGCAATTTAAATACAATTTTGTTTGAGAGTCCATTTTACTGCATGACTGTGTTTTTGAAGGAGCATTCCTTAGAGGAACGTAACCACCCAGATTTTTTCGAATGTGGTTTATTGGTTAGGAACACCTTTCGCAAGTTTTTAGAAAGTGCGGCGAAGGAAGTTCAAATAACATCTGTTCAGATGCGGTCTGTTCACAAGTTATGAACCGCACCAATAAAGAGGATGCGCTGTTTTACAGTGTCACAGATGAAAAATAAAAAAGGGTGGTCGACGTAAAACTCTGGAATAGGATATCTGCGGCCGCTGAGAGCTGCCAACTGGAATTTCGTAGCAGCGGCTGCGACGGTCCCTTCTTCGCTCACACCCACCATAGCTTTGTGCACAACATCTGACACTTTGAGTTTCACATCACTTGAGATCCCCGATAGGTCGGCCTTAGCGCTGAATATGGATGTTAAGCCGAGCTTCTGCAACGGATCTCCAAGCTTGTAACTTGTTCTTAGCTCGAACTTCGGGAGTCTGAGTTTCACTTCGTACTGATACAGTTTCTTCTGAAGAGTCAGAAGTGTTCTGACCGAGAGGGCTCGTATGAGCTGAGGAAGTCCGGTCCTGTTGTTTGGAAGTAGAATGACCATGCTGTACTGGTCCCCGGAGTATGGAAGCTGGACGGCTTGAGACTTGAGCTCTGGCAGGGCACGATACTTCATACGACTCCTGCATGTCATTGTTTTCACCTGGACAGTTTTTATGCCTTCATTGTAGAACGGAAAATTAGCTGTTTGTTTGGTGTCGAAGGCGTTCTTCCATGAGCCTTTAAAATATATAGCGTTCATGAGGACCATCACTGCCTCGCGTAAGGAATCTTCGCCAACGATATCGGAAATTTTGCCTTTTGTCTTCGTCTTGACCCACTGGTTAATTTCCGACACAACTTTTTTCAGATTGTTCTCAAAATCAACAGACCGAACCTCGGCACCAAAAGTCTTAGCCAGGTCTCGCTTGTAGCTCTCGAGAATTCTAAGCCTTTTGTCGACCAGAGCTGCGTTGGCATTATTCACGGTCACGTTGGGCGACTGGAGGTCATTCAGGTACGTCCTGAACACCCCGAGAACGGCGTCCCGCGTCGTGATTTTTGCCCTGCGTAGGCCTAGGACAGTCTCAAGTTCCGCGGCAGACCTACCCTTTGCACCAGCGTAGACCATGGTCAGCGCTGCGAAGATGCTGCTTGGGGAGAAGAAGACGTTTTCTTGAGGCTTCCTGGTAGAGCACAGTTCCTTGAAAAGGCTTAAACCGAACTCTGAGCTTGCCCTGGCGAGTTTAGTCTGGTCGCTCTGCGCACTAACGTGCCCGGCAGCCGCTAGCGTCACAATCAACACAAGAAATGTACCTGGGGGAGACATCGCTGAAGAAGTGATAATGCGTTGAGATTTCTGACGCTTTTATACCCTCACAGGCGGATTCTGAACTGAGATCAAAATATACCGCCATAATCAAGTCGGCTTCTTTTAATAAGAAAACTATCCCCCTAGATGCCATTGTATTGAGCGAAAAATAGTAGACACTGAGTGGAATTTTCACAAAACCAGTTTACGTGTGATGCACTCCTCACGCTTTGTGTTCTCGGTCTTGTATATTTTCTTTGTATGAACGGTAATTAAATTTTTTCGAAAATGATTCGCTCGTCTCATAATAAAACTATATTATATAACTATGCCTATAGCGAGCCTGGTTTAGGAGGAAAATTGCTCGGCGCTTGTGAAGTAACAGTTATTCCGTGTTCGTGAGATGGCTTTTATGACTTTGGATAGCCGCGGTTTAATAATGATAGCCATTTAGTCTTCTCTGCCGAGCGACTTTCAGTCGTAATCAACAATAAACATATTCCAAAAACAACGCAACAAAGAAGAGCGTGATGGTTATGAAAAAAAAAAAAAAAAAATGAACAGGAATAAACAAAACCTTTCGGTACATTCTCTGTAATTGTTTTTTCTTTAAAAGCCATGTTGCATTGTTTGCCGGTGAGTATCTAGAGCAGTAATGTGTAGCTATTTTGAAATAAAAAAAACATGTGGCATTTATTATTATTTGGCATATGTTTTGTTATGTGAGGACAGTTCTACAGCTTTTGATGAAACAAACAAATACTGGCTACGTGTGGTCTCATTTTAGAAGAAGCGTCTAACGTTCTCGATAACTTTGAGTGAGGCTCACGTGGCCAAGGTGGGCTGGGGTAGCCCCTGCAGCACTCTCGTGGGTCCCACCCCGGTTATGCGAGGGCAAAGTTAGCGTACATGTCGGCAAAGCGAGGACACGCCCACGTGGGCTCCCACGCAGTAACCTCGTGCATTTTTAGAAAAAAGGGTATGGATAGTCCTTCCTTAGGGGAGGAACAGTCTTGTAACCCATGTTCCTTTATAAAGGGAGAAACTTTCGTCCCTGAAGCAGGGGAGCAAAGTTCCTCCGTCGCTTGCATCTGAATATGGCGGCCCCGAATCGCACAAATCGAGCCCAATAAGGCTTGACGAGGACGCTACGGCTCTTGTACGGGACGAGAGGAGCAGCAAATAAAAGCGCAACACGAGCTTTCCGCGAACTGTGTTTATTTCCGAAGCCAGATTCCCACCACAGGTAGAGAAACTTGCGTTTCGAAAGCAGTTACTCCGTCTTCACGTCAACAGTACTGCGATGTTAAACGGAGACAACCGATACCCAGTTACTTCGCGCACTTTGCGTCTTACCTTTGGTGTTCCTCGAGTCACAATTCCTTCGTCAACCGCACTTCACGGAGAAGGGTAAATTCAATCCGCGAAACCAAAAGCCGCTCTTGAAAGAACAAACGCGAAGCCGCTGTTTATTGCGTAGCAGCGTGAAAGAGGGTTAAATCGCTAGCCACCAGATGGCGGGGTCAAGCAGAGTAATTGCAAGTCGCTAGGCTAGGTAACTTTAGGTACCGCCCAATTCATGTTCTACAAAAAATATATTGATTTTCCCAGGCTATTATTGCGCTTGGGGATCCTCTGATATGCACACATTACGCTTATTAGAAGCATCAGGTGAACATACATAGAACACATACACGGCACACACAAATATCAATACAACGAAACACCACACTAACCCGAACACTACACCCGTGCTCAGCGTTTCCGTCTTTTATACTGGTCGTTTTGAATGGACAGAATTATTCGGTGACTGAATAAGCAATAAAAATATTCCCAGCATGTTGATTTTTTTTTCAGCAATTCCATACCTCTAAGAGTATTTTGAATGGCTCAGGGGATGAATCTCTCATTAACGAGGCAAACGCTCGATCATGCTGTAATTATTTGAAAGCCAATAAATTAAGCCGTTCCAATGCGGTTCGAAGCCATGAGTTTGCTTCCCCGCATGGCACGTCGTAGCCTGTATTTCTATTGTAATGTTTGTTTTTCTATTTATGCTGTTCGCGCAAAGCTGCAATTGCCGTCTTGAATTAATCTCTGAAGAGCGGATATTCACTCAGCTGGAAGTGATGCTTTACGGGCTGAGAAATCGCTTTTCGATCAACTTGAATACAGTCAAAGCCGCGACTTGCGGCAGGTGTTAAGTGTACGAAGCTACGCCGTGGCGAGCCCGAAAACTTCTAGCGCTCATCCCAGCGTGCCACTTGGAGGGCAGTTTCTCCAGGAACCGTAGTATATTTAAACAGCAAAATAAAGGGTAGCTTTTTAGAGCGCAGCTCTTAGGGGCCCGTTTCCGGCTTGAGCGGCGTCGCCGTCGGCGTCGGCGTCGCCGTCGGCGTCGCCGTCGCCGTCGGCGTCGGCGTCGGCGTCGGCGTAACCGCGCGGTGCATCATGGGAAATGTCCCATAATGCACCGCGCGAGCCCCCCACCGGGGTCACGTGACCTCGTGGGGGGCACGTGACCCCTCCGAGGTCACGTGACCCCGGTGCATCATGGGAAATGTCCCATAATGCACCGCGCGAGCCCCCCACCGGGGTCACGTGACCTCGTGGGGGGGCACGTGACCCCCCGAGGTCACGTGACCCCCCGAAGTCACGTGACTCCCCTGAGGTCACGTGACCCCCTCCTCGAGGTCACGTGACCCCCCGAGGTCACGTGACCCCCGCCGATGTCGCGTGAGCCCCCGATGACGTCATCCTCACTGATGACGTCACCGGCATCCACATCGTCATCGTCATCATCACTGATGACGTCACCGGCATCCACATCGTCATCGTCATCATCACTGATGACGTCACCGGCATCCACATCGTCATCGTCATCATCACTGATGACGTCACCGGCATCCACATCGTCATCGTCATCATCACTGATGATGTCACCGGTATCCGCATCGTCATCGTCATCATCGCTGATGACGTCACCGGCATCCACATCGTCATCGTCATCATCACTGATGACGTCACCGGCATCCACATCATCATCGTCATCATCACTGATGACGTCACCGGCATCCACATCGTCATCGTCATCATCACTGATGACGTCACCGGCATCCACATCGTCATCATCACTGATGACGTCACCGGCATCCGCATCGTCATCGTCATCATCACTGATGACGTCACCGGCATCCACATCGTCATCGTCATCATCACTGATGACGTCACCGGCATCCACATCGTCATCATCATTGATGACGTCTCCGGCATCCGCATCGTCATCGTCATCATCACTGATGACGTTACCGACATCCGCATCGTCATCGTCATCATCACTGATGACATCATCAGTGACGTCACTGATGTCGTCACCGGCATCCGCATCGTCATCATCACTCATCACTCGCTGATGACGTCATCATCACTGATGACGTCATCAGCGGCGTCACTGATGACGTCACCGACATTCGCATCGTCATCGTCATCATCACTGGTGAAGTCATCAGTGACGTCACTAATGACGTCATCGGTACCCGCATCGTCATTGTCAGTGATGACGTCATCAGTGACGTCAGTGATGACATCATCGGCACTGGGGGTCACGTGACCCCCAAGGTCACGTGACCCCCCACTGGTTAGTTTAACCCCCCCCCCCCCCCCCAGTGCCCTTCCCTCCTCTGGCATACCCAAACTGGCATACCCAAATCTGCGTTTGAAATTTCCAAAATGACGCGATTTGAAACAGAGTTCGTACGCCAGCCGGATGCTAGGTGCAGCCCACTTGGCGGAGCGGACGACATGCGAATGAAGGGAAAGGGCATTTTTTTTTCTTTTTTTACCCTCTCTGCTATGACCCTAATGGAACGGTCTATATCTAACTAAGAATTTGATGAGGTGACACAAAACTCAGCCACAATATCAGTGGGTAATGCTGTAAATAGGACATGGTGCTATTTGGGGCACCTAGAAATCAAATAGGCTCCACTCACTCCCATAGCATTGTTACACTGCAGTCAGATAAAAAAAAAATGTGATTCTACATTCATTTCCCATGCCTTTTCTTACAGAAACCGTAGAACCCTGCAGATGCGGGCAAGGGGCATCGAGCTCAAATGCCTCTGGTGTTACAGGTACGTGTTACAGGCATTCATAGAATTTGAAGTGGTCGTAGGTCAGTGGATGTACTGCATGCAATTGCATCTTCCTTTTGTGAAGATATTCTGAAGATTCATTTTATTCCAAGGTTACTCGCCCACACTCAGTTGGTCGCAATGGTGGCAATGTGGTAAAAGCTATGTGCTTACCTAATCAATAAATCACCTGCGTCTGACCCTTCTTACTATGCCTGTGTGTGCACACAGAGTCGGATGATGTGGTGCAAGACCGTCAGTTGCTTGTCCAGCAAGCAAATGCAGCCTCCGCTGCCTTGTAAGCTCAGCTGTGTCGAGTGCTGTATAGTTACATGTTTCAATAGGATTTTTTGATGACCTAGGCGAAGCTACAAAAAGGGTTGCTCGGTGTGATGTGTCGCAACCACTTTCCAGTCAATGCGCACTAGCACATGGCAAAGATGCAAACCAAAATGAGTCTTGTATTGTAAACATTGCTCCAATTATTTTTTTTCAAGAGAAAAGCCAACTCGTGACATGCATGCCTGAACAAGGCTGTTTAAAAGAATGCTTTGTTTTTAGTTGCAGTGTACCTTTAATGTAAGAAATACTATAGGGCAGCAGTGTTTGCGATCATAAGAATATAAACCCACCTCCCCCCTATAAAAGAATTATAAGGTTTGAGGGTTTTAAACCTTTGAGCACGAAAAGATAAGTCTTAATGACTGGCATGTTTCAGGTTTGCTTGCATCAATAATTAATAGCATGGGTGCGACTTTTTAAATTTGTTATGAATATTTTTTATTACAAAAAAGCTAAATGATGTATCATTACAAGACTGAAAAGTTTGTTATAATCCATGTTACTCCAAGATTGCACCTTATTAATTTATTTTTGTTTTTTCAGAGCCTTCAAGGGGCACTGCACCAGCTGTCCGGAGGTCTCTCTTTGACACTGTGGAGCCGCATGGCTTTGCCAGTGAAGACGAAATGGAGGGCCAACTAGTGGAAGCTGGATGTTCATGTAAGATTGCCTACAAAGCTGGGAACATAGTGCTTACCATCCTTTGTGTAATTTGAATTATTTGCCTTATATAAGTAGTAAAAAATAGTTGAGGTGTGCGAATACCAACATTTTGACTGTGAATTGAGCCAAATATTTTCAAATACGAATATTTTACGTCTAATGGGACCTCGACACCTCCGATACTGCCTTTATTAGGATTTATACATGTACAGCTCATTAAAGATCTTTTAAAGTGTTTACGTGGCAGATTGCCTTGGGCTTCTTCAGACAGCCTTGGGCTTCTTCAGCGCGAACCGGCTGTTTAATCACCGTGTCGCCACTTCGTGAAGTGCTGAAATCAACGAGACTAGCGTGTATGCAGAAGGCATGCGCCAATGTTGGCATCGTCTGCTACGCTGTTACCTTATGCATGACCGGTCTGCACTCTCTCTACTCTGAATCAGGGATAAGAGGGGTGCGCCACCTCGCACTGTTTGCATTTTTTTCTCCCTTGAAATGGCTTGCCGCTTTTAAAAAATTTTAAATAAAAGAGGGCGTGACGGTGTGTTTTGCCATGAAATCACGCTACATCGGAAATGAAAGAAACCTTCCACCTGCACTTTACGAATCTTCCACACTACATAGCTGGTGTTGGTCGGTCAGCTTGGGCCTTCCAGGGTTGTTGAGTAATGTGTTGATACCCAACATTGACTGAATGTTTTTGTTAACCCAAATTTAACCCATGACATTCGCTAATAAATTATTCATGAAATTTGAATTTTTTTTTCTTTTAGCAAGCAGCGTAATTTTATGCAAAATACAATAAACAAGAAATCTGTTCTGCGTGATCCAGCAAAACTCGCTTCTACGCCGTTTTCTTTACTTTTTTATTTCTTTGCACCTACAGGAAACTGACCGGCGATTACTGGTAAGGGGACGGTGCTGACAACAGGAGAAGCGCTTAAGTTTGGTTAGGGAACAGCCTCGGGGGCAGATGTTCCCTCCCCATTGTGGCATATGGCCTCTGCACACGTGCCTACGTGTTGATAACACCGCTTCATGCCATGATAATGCGCTGATGTAGCGGCTGGTTGGAGGTCGTGTTATATTGTTAAAAAATCTGGAGGTTGTACACTTTTTCTGCACCCCATCCTCCTTTGTTTAAATTTTATTGCTGAAGCCACCCCTTTTGCGGTCTATTCCATGGGTGGCTTGAGTGACACGGCCTAAGAGCTGCAAACATAACTATTAAACTTCGAAGAGCTGTTAAAAAAAGTGGGGGGGGGGGGAGGGGAGAAACTTTCAACAGCACTTTGTAGCAAGGCCGTAGTACTGAAATTCATTGCGTCACCAAGAAAGGCCACCACAGGGCATGGATTGAATATGAGTGCTGTGTCAGTGTTTGTCTGGGCCTAACCAGCGCGAGCCCGACTAGATAGTCTAGTTCCTCTCTTTAAATCGCGTTTAATTTTTAGCTAGGTAATTATATTATTATTTTATAAATTTATATATTTGTGTAAATACTCCCCAGAGTTTTTTTTTTCACATTTTTGTTGTCACAGATGATGCTGACAAATTCATTGTAGCTATTCCAATTAATCATTGATGCAAATATTCCCGGTTGTACAACTTGGGAGTGACGATGCCATTAAGCTACTCAACATCGGTACTGCATGACCAGTATTAGCTTCTGCAGTGCAAAGGTAGGCTCAGATAGAAGTGTTAGTGAAGTAATGTATCTTGTGTTTTGGAAATTTATAGTGCTTCATAGCCTTCCTTCTACATTTGCATGTCTTGCTCTAGCTGTAATTACATTAACCTGCTTTGAAATTACTTTGTGTTTATTGCAGATGCCGCTCCGCCTCAGGCTGGCGCACGGTCCAAGTCTGTCGCAGTGGCTGCGACGCTTGTGGCTTGCGCACGGCCTAGGATTGTTCCAGAGACTGGACAGGCACAGGCTGGTTCTCAACCAGAGTTCGTCGCAGCGGCTACACCACTACCAGCTGGTCCTCGACCTGAGCTCATCGCAAAGGCAAGGCTCCAACCTGGTGGAGCACAGCCTGCGGAACTTCCGGATGTTGCACCGCTACGAGCGGGCGGTGCACCGCTACGGCCACTGCAAATAGCCCCAGGTGCTGCAGCACAGCAGCAGGAAGTCCCTCCTGACTGTCCTCCTGAGCTGGCGGAGGTTGATGGCATGGTAAATATAGAGAACCAAATCATTGCTAGACTGCTTTCTTGATTTCTTGTATTTTTCAAATGTACTGGACACTGTCAATCCCTGTAATTTTCTTTTAAAATGCTAAGGCAAATTTAATAAAACTTTGTTCATATGTCTTTTTAATGGGTTAGCATAAAAAACCCTATTATCTGGGAAGACGTAATATTCATTAATGCTCAGCAGGGCTACAGATGAGATAGGAGGCAAGTCTAACATGACAATTTAATTTAAATAGAATTTAACGATCATGGGGAATTTAGAACGCATTACAGACTGCTTATGATCGCTATTCGGCGCTTCCAGCAAATGGTCAACAACACGTTTCTTATCAAGCAGTTGCAGCATCGAACCAGAGGTTTTGATTGCTACTTGGTGCTTAGATCAAATGTTCAACAAGGACAGTCTAGAGCACTCGCGGCCCGTCCTCACTTTCTGTGCAGCCGTGGATATTGACAAACATTTTTAAAGTATCGAGGGCCATGATCCCATCTGCAAACGTGAGCTTTGTGTGATCACTGTTTTTTTGTCCATGTCCTCTTTGCTTTCAACTTCTTTAGTCATAGTGATGTCGGCAATGATGTCCATCATGCTTTTGCAGTTCTGAGCTAATGACATTCTCTTAATTGACACAGAATTATGAGTGTCGTAGGCTCTCATTCGTGTTATAGCGTCGTCTAGATCTTGCACATTGAAAGATTCGCCAGCGGTCATATCTTGCACATCTTCGGCATTTTACTTAATTATTTTTCAACCTTGTTCTGAATGTTGAAGCCGTACAATGGGTAGTGCACTACACTGTCACCTTGCACGAAAAGCGCCATCTCTGAGCACAACTTAAAACTACACTTACAGAACTGAGCCAGAAAGCGCAACTAAACAGTATGGCGGGCCAGTGCACATTTCTGGCTCATCTGTCAACGTCCTACACTATTAACCCTTTCATGGTGGTGGTTTCTGTTTCAAAGGATGTGCCCTAGTGGTCGGGTTCTTCCCCAATGCTATTGCACAAAAAGCATACTAGCTCATTGCTGGAGGCAATAACCTTTAATAATGAATTAATGGCTGGTACAAACTTCAAAGTGCTTATAAAACACTTTCTTCTTGTGTCTTACTTGGAATCAAATGTACTTTCCATACATTTCTTGATTGGGTGGTCAGCTCTTATCCTGTCATGTCCCAGAAGAGTCAGAAGTATGAATTGGAAGAACTGTCGCTTTAATCGCCACTAGTGCCCATGTAGCCGAGGCACGCGGGACGCACGATAGAATCATTTGTGCTCAGGTGTGGTGTTTGCAAGCCTAGCCTTTAGCATGGTGATGTCAACATAACTAAACATGACAAGCATCAGTTAAAATAGAGAGATGCTCACTGGGACTTCAAATGCCACCTTACTTCCTAACACAGCTATAGAAGATTGGCTTGCACAGGTAGATCCCTTATCCCTTCTTTCTTGTATCACATACGCCTTGACTTTCTCCTGCAATAGTTGCTTTCTGCAGTCTAAATATGTGGCCATTTACATGAGCACAGTTTGCTAGCACAATCACACAATGTACCGGCAAGCCTAAAGACCTGCATCCTTTATAGGAACTGACATGGTATTTTAATCAATTATTCAAGTATTGTCCCATCTGCCCAATTTACACTAGCCTGTCTGTAAAAGGGATCTCATAAACTTATAATTAAGGCTCAAGGGACAATCTTTGTGCCATGTACTGTCGAGACCGGTTATAACGAAGTCTATTATAACGAAATAGCGGCTACAACGAAGCGATCACAATTTCCCATTCTCTTTTGCACTTTGTTAACCGAAGTCGGTTATAATGAAACAGCGGATATATCGAAGTGATTTCCGATTCCCATTGACTTCGCTATAACCGGTCTTGACAGTATCGTAGCGCAACCACAGCATCTGGATTGCTTTTATTTTATTGAATGTGCGCTTTATCAAAGCTGAGAAAGATCTGGCTACTCTTGTTACGGCTCAAAACTGCAATGTCTGTCCATTATCGCTATGCAGCCCATTTTAACCCGTGGGGAAGACGGTGAATATAAAAGTGGGAGGCAACCTTCTTGCACTCTTCATCAGCTTTTTCTGGGTGCATTCTTGCAAACCTTGGTTGGCATGCTCGTATAATTTTTCACAAGCGAGCAACTGGCACTTTAAGGAGTTTAGGTTTCCTATTGTCAGTGGCGGGTCAAGAACAGTGTATAAGCTCGAAAGGAGGAAGTTCGGATGGGAGAGGAGGAACCTTTCTTGCACACCGAGTTTCTGCCTGCTTCCTTCTTCAGCTCGTACACTTTCTTGACCTGTCACTTCTTATAAGTCTGAAAATAGGCACTGAAAGATTTTCCCTTGTACCGTCTATGAGACCAGGCAGAGGGAACTGCAATATCGGTTTTGACAAGTAATCAGTTTCTGGCAAGAAATTTTCTCAACATTTGTTTCTGGTAAAAAAATTATTAACCTGTCAGATGTTTTGCTTTTGTAGTACTAGCACATTATACGAGCCAATATGACACCTACAAAAGAGACATAAAAGTGCTCCCTTTCTGGTTCTTGGACACCTTTTACTGGATAATAGTGTATCTCTCGAATGTTTTTTTTTTTACATTTCTTTGTAAACAGTTTTTTCTTTTTTCTTTTTTTTTTATACAAAGGGCCAACACTTCTTTGCTTTTCTTTAACTTTTTTCAGGTGCACCTGAGGAATGGCGTGTTTATAACGAAGAAGCGGATGGACCTTTCCCTAAAGATGGGTAAAACTGACTCGAAGTTTATTGCTTGGATCGCCCGGAGTCTGTGGGAGCCGGAGGAACTCTTGGACAGGAGCGTCAAGGGGCTGCCCTGCCGGCGCTTGGTGAAGGATGGGGCCACAGCCAAGAAAGAGCTGACCCCTATAAAGGTTAATGCCATGGAAGGTGGGTGGCTTTAAACAAATCCTGGTACAAACTTGAACCATGTAAAAGGCATGCTTGTATTTATTGCTGTGCATTAAGAGTGTGCCTGCAGTTGGATCGGGAAGCTTGTACAGTGAAACAAAGTAAAGCAATAATGCATTCTAACAGGCGGAGAAGTGCTGCAAAAGAGAGTGGTCACTTTTGCTTGCTTGTCGGTGTGCAACAACTTTAGGGGAGTCCTGCATCGCTGTCGCATTTTGAAGAACGCTATGGGATTGTTGGGAAACTAATGTGCAGCGAGTAGAGACATGGACAGACTCAAAGCTGGTGATTGGCTTTCAGAAAATGCTTGCAGGTTACAAGAACTATCTGAACCTACTATTTACAAGGCGCTTGCAGGCAAAGATTATAGGCTTTTTTGAGAGAAATAAATCTGTCGTTCTCTCGAGAGTTCAAGGCTTATTTCCGTTTTATGCCCAAGCATGGTGTGGGTTGCTTTTGATGATTGATTTTATAAATGCACGGCTGACATTTCCGGTGTGTGCAGACTCCTACAGGACCGCGGTAGTTTCTTGGAGCCGCGACATTAAACCTTGGAGTTATCAAATCGAAACACTGAAAAAGGAAATCCCAGATTTAATTGAATAGTTTTCAGCTCCACGGGACTTTATCACATCGAGATTTAACTGTAATAGGTTTGAGTTTAGAGCCCTTGCCATACTGTATTTAATTATTGCATGTTTCCACATTAAATTTTAAACAGTGCCGGTGCTTGTCAAGTAATTAGTGTCCAGACAAGTAAATTAGAGTGCAGTGCTATTCATCTAGGAATAATTAGCTTGCTATTATCGTGGATATTAGCGAAATAAGCTTATATTTAGGGAATGTGTCAATTGAATTTTGAATGAACAGCAAATAATTGAACCTTATTGCTATGCTTTCCTTAGTCAGTTTCATGTTAACTGTAATGTTTATATGACAGAACAAAATTTAAGTTTGACGTTTGGTTGTTGTTTCTTCTTTTCAGTTGCACTGGGTCTGCGGATCGACACACTCCAGATGGGGGAGTTCACGAGAACGGAAAGATTAGAAGCAATGCGGACGAAGTTGTCTAACTTCCTGTGTGACAACAACCGTGCTGATGAGAGGGCAGCTGCTCGCAGGGCAAAGAAGAACTAAATGGGCAAGTGGAATAAAAAGCAGAGCCGCCATATTTTGTACTGTGTTTCATGTAGCACGTCATGGTTGTGATTTTATGTACCACGTCATGGTTGTGCTATTGTACGCTTGGTTGTCAGCATCCTAGTACTGGTTTGCTGCCTTATGACCTGGAGCGATTCCAGCTGTGATATCCCCCTATCCGGTTAAATTATCATATATATAATAGGTATGGCATCGAGAGGCCACTAAACTCGACCCGATTTCCAGAATACTGCGTTCCAGACTGGATTCCAGTACTGCGTATCCGGCTGGATTTCCAGAAGACACCCTACCGGAATGGATCCAGTAGTACATACCCAGATTGATTTCCAGAACGGTTCCAGTAGCTGTCGATCCAGATAGATTTCCAGATGGATTTCCGGTTCCATAATCCAGACTAAATTAATCTGGAAAAATGTCTACTGGGTTTTTAGGTAGGGGTGTGTTGCTCAAGCAAGGAGCAGATCCTTTTCACTGCAGCCGTTGATGGTGTATAGTCTTGCGTTGCGAACCTGGGCCAACTGCGGCCCGGCAATGCTCGCACTTGGGTTGGTGACGGCCGCAGCACAAGATGGGTAGACGGCGGTTCTTGAATCTTGTGTGACGAGGCCTCTTTTCCGGCTGCAACGATAGTAGGTGCAATTAGTCCTCTGGCTGTACGAACGTTGTGCGCACTTCCGCCACTGCTGTGTGTTGCTCAAGCGAGGAGCAGATCCCTTTCACTGCAGCCGTTGATGACGTAGTCTTGCGTTGCGAACCTGGGCCAACTGCGGCCCGGCAATGGTCGCTCTTGGGTTGGTGACGGCCGCAGCACAAGATGGGTAGACGGCGGTTCTTGAATCTTATGTGACGAGGCCTCTTTTCCGGCTGCAACGATAGTAGGTGCAATTAGTCCTCTGGCTGTACGAACGTTGTGCGCGCTGCCGCCACTGCTGTGTGTTGCTCAAGCAAGGAGCAGATCCTTTTCACTGCAGCCGTTGATGGTGTATAGTCTTGCGTTGCGAACCTGGGCCAACTGCGGCCCGGCAATGCTCGCTCTTGGGTTGGTGACGGCCGCAGCACAAGATGGGTAGACGGCGGTTCTTGAATCTTGTCTGACGAGGCCTCTTTTCCGGCTGCAACGATAGTAGGTGCAATTAGTCCTCTGGCTTTACGAACGTTGTGCGCGCTGCCGCCACTGCTGTGTGTTGCTCAAGCAAGGAGCAGATCCTTTTCACTGCAGGCGTTGATGGTGTATAGTCTTGCGTTGCGAACCTGGGCCAACTGCGGCCCGGCAATGCTCGCTCTTGGGTTGGTGACGGCCGCAGCACAAGATGGGTAGACGGCGGTTCTTGAATCTTGTCTGACGAGGCCTCTTTTCCGGCTGCAACGATAGTAGGTGCAATTAGTCCTCTGGCTGTACGAACGTTGTGCGCGCTGCCGCCACTGCTGTGTGTTGCTCAAGCAAGGAGCAGATCCTTTTCACTGCAGCCGTTGATGGTGTATAGTCTTGCGTTGCGAACCTGGGCCAACTGCGGCCCGGCAATGCTCGCTCTTGGGTTGGTGACGGCCGCAGCACAAGATGGGTAGACGGCGGTTCTTCAATCTTGTCTGACGAGGCCTCTTTTCCGGCTGCAACGATAGTAGGTGCAATTAGTTCTCTGGCTGTACGAACGTTGTGCGCGCTGCCGCCACTGCTGTGTGTTGCTCAAGCAAGGAGCAGATCCTTTTCACTGCAGCCGTTGATGGTGTATAGTCTTGCGTTGCGAACCTGGGCCAACTGCGGCCCGGCAATGCTCGCACTTGGGTTGGTGACGGCCGCAGCACAAGATGGGTAGACGGCGGTTCTTGAATCTTGTCTGACGAGGCCTCTTTTCCGGCTGCAACGATAGTAGGTGCAATTAGTCCTCTGGCTGTACGAACGTTGTGCGCGCTGCCGCCACTGCTGTGTGTTGCTCAAGCAAGGAGCAGATCCTTTTCACTGCAGCCGTTGATGGTGTATAGTCTTGCGTTGCGAACCTGGGCCAACTGCGGCCCGGCAATGCTCGCACTTGGGTTGGTGACGGCCGCAGCACAAGATGGGTAGACGGCGGTTCTTGAATCTTGTCTGACGAGGCCTCTTTTCCGGCTGCAACGATAGTAGGTGCAATTAGTCCTCTGACTGTACAAACGTTGTGCGCGCTGCCGCCACTGCTGTGTGTTGCTCAAGCAAAGGAGCAGATCCTTTTCACTGCAGCCGTTGATGGTGTATAGTCTTGCGTTGCGAACCTGGGCCAACTGCGGCCCGGCAATGCTCGCTCTTGGGTTGGTGACGGCCGCAGCACAAGATGGGTAGACGGCGGTTCTTGAATCTTGTCTGACGAGGCCTCTTTTCCGGCTGCAACGATAGTAGGTGCAATTAGTCCTCTGGCTGTACGAACGTTGTGCGCGGTGCCGCCACTGCTGTGTGTTGCTCAAGCAAGGAGCAGATCCTTTTCACTGCAGCCGTTGATGGTGTATAGTCTTGCGTTGCGAACCTGGGCCAAATGCAGCCCGGCAATGCTCGCACTTGGGTTGGTGACGGCCGCAGCACAAGATGGGTAGACGGCGGTTCTTGAATCTTGTCTGACGAGGCCTCTTTTCCGGCTGCAACGATAGTAGGTGCAATTAGTCCTCTGGCTGTACGAACGTTGTGCGCGCTGCCGCCACTGCTGTGTGTTGCTCAAGCAAGGAGCAGATCCTTTTCACTGCAGCCGTTGATTGTGTATAGTCTTGCGTTGCGAACCTGGGCCAACTGCGGCCCGGCAATGCTCGCACTTGGGTTGGTGACGGCCGCAGCACAAGATGGGTAGACGGCGGTTCTTGAATCTTGTCTGACGAGGCCTCTTTTCCGGCTGCAACGAGAGTAGGTGCAATTAGTCCTCTGGCTGTACGAACGTTGTGCGCGCTGCCGCCACTGCTGTGTGTTGCTCAAGCAAGGAGCAGATCCTTTTCACTGCAGCCGTTGATGGTGTATAGTCTTGCGTTGCGAACCTGGGCCAACTGCGGCCCGGCAATGCTCGCACTTGGGTTGGTGACGGCCGCAGCACAAGATGGGTAGACGGCGGTTCTTGAATCTTGTGTGACGAGGCCTCTTTTCCGGCTGCAACGATAGTAGGTGCAATTAGTCCTCTGGCTGTACGAACGTTGTGCGCGCTGCCGCCATTACTGTGTGTTGCTCAAGCGAGGAGCAGATCCCTTTCACTGCAGCCGTTGATGACGTAGTCTTGCGTTGCGAACCTGGGCCAACTGCGGCCCGGCAATGCTCGCACTTGGGTTGGTGACGGCCGCAGCACAAGATGGGTAGACGGCGGTTCTTGAATCTTGTCTGACGAGGTCTCTTTTCCGGCTGCAACGATAGTAGGTGCAATTAGTCCTCTGGCTGTACGAACGTTGTGCGCGCTGCCGCCACTGCTGTGTGTTGCTCAAGCAAGGAGCAGATCCTTTTCACTGCAGCCGTTGATGGTGTATAGTCTTGCGTTGCGAACCTGGGCCAACTGCGGCCCGGCAATGCTCGCACTTGGGTTGGTGACGGCCGCAGCACAAGATGGGTAGACGGCGGTTCTTGAATCTTGTCTGACGAGGCCTCTTTTCCGGCTGCAACGATAGTAGGTGCAATTAGTCCTCTGGCTGTACGAACGTTGTGCGCACTTCCGCCACTGCTGTGTGTTGCTCGAGCGAGGAGCAGATCCCTTTCACTGCAGCCGTTGATGAAGTATTCTTGCGTTGCGAACCTGGGCCAACTGCGGCCCGGCAATGCTCGCACTTGGGTTGGTGACGGCCGCAGCAGAAGATGGGTAGACGGCGGTTCTTGAATCTTGTCTGACGAGGCCTCTTTTCCGGCTGCAACGATAGTAGGTGCAATTAGTCCTCTGGCTGTACGAACGTTGTGCGCGCTGCCGCCACTGCTGTGTCTAAAAAGTAAAAAGTATAAAAAGTAACGCTAAAGTAACGTACGTTACTTTTTATTGGTTACGGTAACGGTAAAGCGTTCCTTTTAATGTTGAGGTAACGTGCAGGTCGGTAACGCGTTGCTTTTTTTGCACGTAACGAGTTACGTATTTCGCCCCTTTTTTGGGTAACGTCTACAAGACTGCTGATGTTGTATATGACTATAGCGAGACACCTAGGCTGAACAAAAGCCCATTCAGCTAAGAGAAGCGGCGTCGGGAGTGTCGTAAAAGTCCTCACTTTCGGTTGTGCCGTGCTTCCGCTAGATGGCCACACCGAAACTTCGAAACTAATGACGTCACAACGTGGTGCTCCGCTACAAACAACCGTTGCCAGGGCCGTTGTTATGGACAAATGCATCGGGGCTCCACGTGAGGCCAGAAATTGTCTGACAAAAAGATAAATTCTTTTTTTCCAAGCATTGTGTCAATATCTCACCATGAAGACTTTTCTCATCGTCTCAGTAGCAAAACGCGATGACAAAAGGCCGTAATAAAGTTCCACAACCGGGTTTGCCTTGCTAGCAGACCATACAATGGCTTCGCGGGTTTTAGCGGTTCTTTCTGAGGGAGTGGGCGACTGCGTTGAATGAAGTTGGTGGCGGCTCACGAAACTTCTATCCTCGGGGTCAACTTTCTGTGATCAGATTTCGGAAGCGAAGAGTGGCCGTGCACAGCTTTGATCGACGCTCGAGGTGCCCAGTGCGCGGACGCTTTTCCGTGAAGCTCGCTTCCGTAATATTTGAGAAGGTGAAATCTCTGTAAATCCAATTCATGTACAACAACGACATGAAGTGTATCAAGGTGGAAGTGCAGGCCAGCGCACGTTTTACAAATTTCTCACACCACAGTTCTTCGGTGCACATTTGTGTGATCAAACAAACTGTCCGTAACGGACATATACTGTAAAATTATCGCGGATCCTATCTTTCGCGGCCCCTTATGTTGCGAAACGGTCAGAAGAGGACATAACCGCGGCCACTAAGTTTCTCAAATTCCGGCCACCTGCATTGAAACTCTTAAGGACCAAAACATTTGGCGTGCCCTTAAATTTTGCG